GAGAGCTGGGCAGTTAAGAAAGAAGATAGGAGGTAAATCAATGCATTTGAGAGTGCTGAGGATCCCATGGACAGCCGGAAGGACAAACAAATGGATCCTAGAGCAGATCAAGCCAGAAACCTCCCTAGAAGCCAAGATGACCAAACTGTTGTACTTTGGACACATCATGGAAAAAACAATAATGCTGGGGAAAGTGGAGGGAAGTAGGAAGAGAGGAAGGCCACATGCCAGAAGGATGGACTCTATGACGGAGGTCACTTTGGGTATGAAGGGGCTGCAGGAATTAAGCAGAGCAGTGGAGGACAGAGGGTCTTCTTGGAGATGGCTCATCCATAGGGTTGCTATGAGTCGAGATCCACTCAAGGGCAGTTAACAACAAACAACAACAAATAGAATAGGGTTTAAAAGTAAGTTCAGGAAGTCTGTTTTTCTTGCTTTTTTTCCTCTTATCTAGTCTTTTATATAGGTTTTTTGTTTGTTGTTGTTGTTGATGTTATTGTAATTTTGTCCTTTTTGGATTATGTATTGATGTGTTTTTAATAAATACATAAAATATTTAAAAATACTTACCTGTGAGTAAGTTCCATTGAACATAATGGAATTTACTCCTGAGTAGGCACATATAGTATTGCAATCGTACAGATTTTTCACATATACAAAGGCAAATCCAGGGTTTGTATAGACTCAATATGGAATTAGAGCACCATGAACTGGCAGTAGAGTTGCCAAGTGAAAGACAGCATAGGGCTCTTGTACTTTTAATAGTATGTAGAAGAGCAAATTCCAGCAGGTGTTACTTGTCACACAAACTGAAATTTCCCTCTTCCTTGCAGCCATTTAAGGAATTTAAGAAAACTGGTCCTGTATTCAGCTGTTTATTGTTGTTGTTAGCTGCCCTTGAGTCGACTGCAACTCATGGCAACCCTGTGGATGAGACATTTCCAAGAATCCCTATCCTCTACTTCCTTGCCCAGATCCTGCAAGCCCCTGCCCATAATCCCCCACTGAGTCCATCCATCTGGTATGTGGTCTTCCTTCCTTCTACCCTCTACCTTTCCTAGCATTATTGTTTTTTCTAGATATCATAGAATCATAGAGTTGGAAGAGACCACAAGGGCCATCCAGCCCAACTCCTGCCATGCAGGAACTCTCAATCAAAGAGATGGTTTTAGCCTCTGTTTAAAGACCTCCAAAGAAGGAGACCACAACTCTGAGGGAGGAAGTTCTGCTGTCAAACGGCTCTCATTGTAAGGACGTTCCTCCTAACATTGAGGTAGAATCTCTTTTCCTGTAGCTTGCATCCATTGTTCAGGGTCCTGTT